GGCAAGGGAAAGGACCATATTCAGTCAAAACGTCGAAATAAACGAGTACTTATAAATCTCCCGCGGAAAATACTGGGTAATAACGTCATTGAAACTTAAAAATTACATGACGTGTCGCAAAAAGGTGGCGCATTTGTTTTTTAAGGGTATCGCGTGAATGTAACTTTTATTCCCCGGATTATAAGATAATATTCTAATTAAAGTTATATATCATTTTAAAGCTGTTTCGATGAAGTTTTTAGATCAACTACACTCCGTTCACGATTCTTGCGCGTTCTTTTTTAAAAAATTTTACCAAAACATCTGGCGAATATCCCCTGTTGACACGTTACATTTTGAATTATTTTTCGTATTTAAACGCTCATAACTCAAACAATATTTGACTATTATTTTTCAGGAAGTTTCACATCATTTATATCAATCATGACAATGTCATATAATGTCATTGTAATATAATGCTTAGATAAATCTTTCTTTGCAAATATAATGCCTAGATAAGTTTTTCCTTGCAAATATAATGCCTAGATAAGTTTTTCCTTGCAAATATAATGCCTAGATAAGTTTTTCCTTGCAAATATAATGCCTAGATGAGTTTTTCCTTGCAAATATAATGCCTAGATAAGTTTTTCCTTGCAAATATAATGCCTAGATAAGTCTGTCCTTGCAAATACAATGCCTAGACAAGTCTGTCCTTGCTAGAACTAATGCCACGATGTACTCTGTCCTTGCATGTAAAATGCTAATATGCAGTCTGTTCGTTGCAAATACCGTCTTATGTCTGGTAAATATAATTCAAGATATCTAAATTATATATATAATATTTATCATTAGAAATTAATAAGTATGAAATCGAGTTGAATTCTGTCCATCTGAGAACTCTTGGAAAAGAATGAAGACTTGATCTCCATATGCAATCTCATTTACTTTAAAATAACTATTCCACCAAACATGCAATCATATCATTACTCCTACATAAAATGTGTGAAGTCAGGTTTCTCTCTCCTTTCAGTGATTAGTTGATCATAGACGTGAGAACGTGATGATGGATTCACATTTTCACAATGTAACACAATGTGTATTCTGGATGCATAGTTTACCATGCCACCCCATACCCTACAATACCATACCATATCATATCATACCATACCATACCATACCATACCATACCATACCATACCATACCATACCATACCATGGAATAGTCTGGAATAGCCTATAACATGCCATTACCATACCACACAGTATTAATTTCCACCCTGAATAGTCTGGCAATAGCCTGTACCATACCATCGTGAGATATCACAGCCTTCTCTCAGTGTCCTTCTAGCATTCTTGTGCATAGCAGAGATGGTCTGAGTATCAGAATGGTACCATACCATACCATACCATACTCTACTGGCCTGTTTTACTGGAATACTATGGCTCTCATACGCAACGTAAGCAACCATTTATGTTTGAAAGATGCTAACACTTTATTGACCATGTATGATCCTGGGGAGCTGAAGTAGGATGTTCTGTTGGTTGGGAAACAAATGAGGGGAAGGGGTGACTTGCATCCTCTGAACGCAATTTTACAGAACCCATTCATTCAATGGTAAGAGAAAAAATATATTTTGGATCTTGGAGCCCTGCGGTCGGGGGATGGGTGTCTGACTATATTATAACTTTTCTGATATCCATCAGACATTTTTGTCACTAGAAAGATGCTCGGATATATGTTGTTGATATCTTTTTTATTCTGTTATTGCAGTCATCAGATGTAAACAAAAATTGTGTTCAACGATCTTCAAAAATATTTTATGACCCCAAACTATAGACTGACATTAGTTGAATTCTGAGTTCCCCTTGAGGTATGCAAACCCAATCCATTATACATTGAGGATTACCTTTTGAATAGTCATGATGTAGAAATTTAAACGTAGGTCAAGACATTGAAAACTTTTTATACTCATGTATGCGGATGACACAGTTATTTTGTCAGACACAAGTGATGGGCTACAGAGAGGACTAAATGGTCTTAGCCATATTGTGATATCGACAATTTGTCTGTTAACACAAAAAGACAAAATGTATTATTTTCTCAAAAAGAAAACCCAAGGGTTTATTCAGATTTACATACAATGGAGAAAATGTTGAAATTAATGACACATTTAAGTATTTAGGAGTTTTATTTTCATATAATAGTCATTTTAGAAAGGGTGCTGATCAGTTAAAGAAACAAGCTGAAAATGGCATGTATTGAGTACTAGAGGAAAGTGTACAGAAATGAATTTACCAATTGATGTTCAATTAGAATTGTTTAATACGTTAATATTACCTATTTTGTGTTATGGCTGTGAGATATGGGGATTTTCGAATGCTACAAAAAATTGTGAAGTCTTACACCTCAAATTTTGTAAATACATACTTAGAGTTAAAGCAACTACACCCTCATTCATGATATATGGTGAATTGGGGCGCTACCCCTTGGAAATACACATTAAAACATGGTAAATTTTTGTAGTAAACTGATACAAAGTAAAGCAACAAGTAGTTCCATTTATAAAGCTATGCTTCAATTACATATAAGGGGTATATACAGGTCACCATGGTTAAGTACTGTAGACAATATTTTAAATTCATATATTAGGAATAGACGAGAGTTTATATCAAGGGATGCATTGAAACATATGGTGAAGAGGAAACTAAAATATCAATTCCTACAGCAGTAGCTACCTAGACTTAGATAAATCTAAAACTTCATATTTTACATATTGTAACATTAAAAACTAATTTATTTTTGAGCCCTATTTATGTCAACCAATATGCACTAGATTATATATAGCAAAACTTAGAACTTCAAATCATAATCTTCCTATAGAAACAGGGAGATACATAAAAAGACCAAGGTTAGAGAGATTGTGTACCAAATTCAACAGACAAGGAGATGAGTACCATGATGACGTATTTTAGAATGTGAAATTTTTGAAGATGACAGAAAAACACTCCTAGATAGCTACTTCATTAGACAACCAAATATGTTAAAATTTAAAAGTTTATTGTCTAATATTACATATTCTGTGCATTTAAGTATATTGATGAAGATTATTGGTGGTAGTGAATTAAACTAAACTGTATTACCATTGTATGTACATGTACTATTTTATACTCACAAGTGTGGGTAGAAATAAAGAATGAAAGTAAAAAGTATATCATACAATAAATACTAAAAGGGAAGGCGACTTTTGGCATTTGTGCTTATATATACATTCACAGATAAGTCATTGCGGAAAGAATATCATTCTTTAATCTATTAGAAGCCCATCATCTCACAAATCAAAGGATTCCCTCATGGCGATGGAATCTATCTGCAGATTATAGAGAGGGTTTCCTGATGCTAATCACTCAACTACTTTCAACTTAAGATTAATTTTAATACCAGGGATTCTCCATGATGGAATTACTAATCAATTGGAAAATCCACATGAGTCAAAGACATTTTTAGTAAGAGGTCGCAATCTTAATACGCTTAAATTGGAATCATGGAATACAGCATTTTGCCCATAAAGTAATAGATGTGACCGAAAGAAATTCACTATTAATAGGCAATGATAATAGGGTTACATTCAAGATATGGAAACGCATATTTCATTTTCAAAAGCTTGTCAGAGATTACTTCTCATTTTTGTAGGTTTTCCTTGTAAATGACAACCAGGATTTCGATTGACATAATTTGGGAGGCGTGGTCCCATGGCGCAAGAGTAAAATGTGTACTCTCCATGTTGGATTAACAACATTTCAAAAGTCCCAGGGAAGTCCATCCCTTTCTTCCAGCGATGTCTCCTTGATGATACTTGTCCAATGTCCTCATTACGGACATGATACTCTCTCATATGACTGACTCAGGAATATTTATGTATTTATTTGATCATACCATGATTTTGTCAGTATCATTTGATTTATATCCCTCATTTGCTTGAATTCTGATGGACTCATTTTTGTTTCTTTTAATATAGTAAATCACTGATGGGTAAGTTTGGAATGACCCTCTTAATAGAGCCATCAATCACCAAATTATTAATATAACTCGCAAATGTAATTAGAGTCGGAGTCATATGGATGTTGACGGGGGAGGGGTGGCGAAAGTATCTTTGAGGCCAATTTTTGAACCAATTGAACCATTTTTTAGCCAATTTCTGCTGAAATACGCACCTTTAACTGTAATAACCGATCTTGAAATAAGACAATAGTAATTGTTGACAGAAAAACTAATACTTGAATCATATGAACTTGTTAAATAGACAATAAATATGAGAAAATAAAAGAAGTTTGTTGTATTTTAGTGATTTATGAAAATAATAACATTGATCCCTCTTTTCGATCCACAGCTTTGAAGAGTTAAATAGATGCTATTTCCAAACGTCGAATTTAACATTTGTGTTGAACGTGTGTTGTTGATTGTGTTTGATGTGGCGTGACTGTAATGGGCACCCTGTTAAATAGATTACTTGTTGTTTTTCTGTTTTCCAAATGTCGCCCTTTCACCCAAATTAAACAAAGTAACGATGCTGACTTACGTCATTAGTGCTATTCTAATATTCTAGTGTAACAAAATTTTGTTCATTAATTGTTAATTATCCATCGGACGAAGCCTTCGTGAAATAACATATTTCTATAAATCATTATTAGCGCGTTTCCATAATTATAAGGCCGTTCTTTATTATAAGGCCGTTCTTGTCATTTATATTATTTATCAACATAAAAAGTCCAACATAGTATTTATGATGTTTGTATAAAGGAAATTGAGATATAATAAGCAATGAATTATCTAATTTAAAGCATTACAATCTAAGTCTAATTAATCTAGGTCTAATGGCTGATTAACGCTGACATTTGTCTATCCCAAAACCTCTTGAGCCATTTGACATGCATTTTATGATTTTCTTGTGAAGTGGATAACAGAATGGTCTCCTGATCATTTTTCGAAAAGGTCCTTTAAGACATTTAAACTGTGTACTTACAATTTAACCATGAATCCTCCCAGTATAGAGCCAACAAGAGTCATTACAGCTTGGAAGAAGAAGACCCAGCTCATGGTTTTATCATCCGTAGAAGTTTGGCACCCCAAGTCCAATAGTGTAGGCCCAAGGAACGCCACACACATTCCGAAACTCCAGAAAACCATACAGTAGCTAAGGGTTGCATGTGCATTCTGTTTGAACAGTCTCCAAAAGGTAAACAATGCCCCAGATAATGTTGATGTTGGTGTGTTATCATCAGCAATAGTTCCCGCTATTCCTTGACACTGATGATTCAGCTCAGTGGCCGTTGAGTTAAAATCCTCTGATTCAGGAAGTGGTGTCTCTGTTTCATTCGTGTATGGATTCCCATAGTTTGTCCCATTCAGTTTTATGTTTTCTGATGTCATATTTGTAAAGTCAATCGTTGTTTACATTTGAGTTCCTGTCATCGACCTTTGATGATGCTTCTGATTTTAGGTGTTTGTATCTGCAATCTAAATCCTTTGCTCATTGTCGTTGTGCTACACCGGCCTGTAAATACAGAACATTTCTACAAATAGTGCCGCTATGTGCATTATGTCGAGTGTGCATTGATATGTTTGATATCAAACCACAATCAGGTTGAAACATCAATATAATTATAGGATATCCTATGATTTTGAGGAATATCATTTTTATCCACGAGGTGATATTGATATCTGCACGAGAGAGCAAATAGAGAATGAGTGCTTATATCAATATCACCGAGTAGATTAAAATTACATTCTGAAAAAATAATGACCAGGATCACAATGTTCATGGTCAAAACGACCCTTACCATGCTGAAATAGCTTTTTCAGTCCTCTGAAATTGTGACTGAAAAAGTTAAAAGTAAGCATTCCCGAAAGGTCACTGAACAGAATATTTTAAAATTTTCAGAAAATGTGACCAATATATTCTTTCAAATGATAGGAGCTTTGAAAATTAGAAAATTGTCTTTAAAAAAAATTGTGGTCATAAAAAGGAATAAAGCTTTTCAAATCATTTTTGGGAGTAGTACAACTGAATGAAGATCAAAGCAGAACTCTGTTATCTAACTTAAAAAAAATCTAAAATCCACATGTTTTTTCATTTCCTGTTTGATAAAAAATTCTGATAACTACCCCGAGACCTTAAGATAGATTTACTTTAAAATATGATACTGACAAACGTGAAAAGAATGTCTTGAAAATTCTGCCTACATCTCGTGAAATAAAGAAAAAACTAAGGAGGATTGGCTCCCAGAATGCAATTCTGATATTCTGCCAAATATGGACATCAATGCCGTGTACAAAATTAAAAATCAAACAGTCGCCATTTCTCAGTTTTTCTCACTTCAGAATTTGAATCGCGAGTGTTCTTATTACTAAACAAAAAATTCAAATGCACAATAATAATGAAGCTAGCTTTGTTGAAAAATATCGATGCTGCATTTTATATAGCTGTCAATGTGAACAAAAAAACAGTCTTCAAACCCGCAAATGATCTCTCTTGGTTCTCGTTGGTTTACAAACATCAAAGACAGGTCCGTCGTTGAAACATGGAAGAAACATGCCCATGGTGGCTGCAATAAAGAGCATCTATAACCCCTACATGGAAGAAACATGCCCATGGTTGCTGCAATGAAGAGCATCTACAACTCCTACATGGAAGAAACATGCCCATGGTTGCTACAATGAAGAGCATCTATAACTCTTACACGGAAGAAACATGCCCATGGTTGCTACAATGAAGAGCATCTACAACTCCTACATGGAAGAAACATGCCCATGGTGGCTGCAATAAAGAGCATCTATAACTCCTACATGGAAGAAACTGCCCATGGTTGCTGCAATGAAGAGCATCTACAACTCCTACATGGAAGAAACATGCCCATGGTTGCTACAATGAAGAGCATCTATAACTCTTACACGGAAGAAACATGCCCATGGTTGCTACAATGAAGAGCATCTACAACTCCTACATGGAAGAAACATGCCCATGGTTGCTGCAATGAAGAGCATCTACAACTCCTACATGGAAGAAACATGCTCATGGTTGCTGCAATAAAGAGCATCTATAACTCCTACATGGAAGAAGCATGCCCATGGTTGCTACAATGAAGAGCATCTACAACTCCTACATGGAAGAAACATGCCCATGGTTGCTACAATGAAGAGCATCTATAACTCTTACACGGAAGAAACATGCCCATGGTTGCTAAAATGAAGAGCATCTATAACTCCTACATGGAAGAAACATGCCCATGGTTGCTGCAATGAAGAGCATCTACAACTCCTACATGGAAGAAACATGCTCATGGTTGCTGCAATAAAGAGCATCTACAACTCCTACATGGAATAAACATGCCCATGGTTGCTACAATGAAGAGCATCTACAACTCCTACATGGAAGAAACATGCTCATGGTTGCTGCAATAAAGAGCATCTACAACTCCTACATGGAATAAACATGCTCATGGTTGCTGCAATAAAGAGCATCTACAACTCCTACATGGAAGAAACATGCTCATGGTTGCTGCAATAAAGAGCATCTACAACTCCTACATGGAATAAACATGCCCATGGTTGCTGCAATGAAGAGCATCTATAACTCTTACACGGAAGAAACATGCCCATGGTTGCTGCAATGAAGAGCATCTACAACTCCTACATGGAAGAAACATGCCCATGGCTGCTACAATGAAGAGCATCTATAACTCATACATGGAAGAAACATGCCCATGGTTGCTGCAATGAAGAGCATCTATAACTCCTACATGGAATAAACATGCCCATGGTTGCTGCAATGAAGAGCATCTATAACTCTTACACGGAAGAAACATGCCCATGGTTGCTGCAATGAAGAGCATCTACAACTCCTACATGGAAGAAACATGCCCATGGTTGCTGCAATGAAGAGCATCTATAACTCCTACATGGAATAAACATGCTCATGGTTGCTGCAATAAAGAGCATCTACAACTCCTACATGGAAGAAACATGCCCATGCTTGCTACAATGAAGAGCATCTACAACTCCTACATGGAAGAAACATGCCCATGGTTGCTGCAATGAAGAGCATCTACAACTCCTACATGGAATAAACATGCTCATGGTTGCTGCAATAAAGAGCATCTATAACTCCTACATGGAAGAAACATGCCCATGGTTGCTACAATGAAGAGCATCTATAACTCATACATGGAAGAAACATGCCCATGGTTGCTACAATGAAGAGCATCTATAACTCATACATGGAAGAAACATGCCCATGGTTGCTACAATGAAGAGCATCTACAACTCCTACATGGAATAAACATGCCCATGGTTGCTACAATGAAGAGCATCTACAACTCCTACATGGAAGAAACATGCCCATGGTTGCTACAATGAAGAGCATCTACAACTCCTACATGGAAGAAACATGCCCATGGTTGCTACAATGAAGAGCATCTATAACTCTTACACGGAAGAAACATGCCCATGGTTGCTGCAATGAAGAGCATCTACAACTCCTACATGGAAGAAACATGCTCATGGTTGCTACAATGAAGAGCATCTACAACTCCTACATGGAAGAAACATGCCCATGGTTGCTGCAATGAAGAGCATCTACAACTCCTACATGGAAGAAACATGCCCATGGTTGCTGCAATGAAGAGCATCTACAACTCCTACATGGAAGAAACATGCCCATGGTTGCTGCAATGAAGAGCATCTACAACTCCTACATGGAAGAAACATGCCCATGGTTGCTGCAATGAAGAGCATCTATAACTCTTACTCGGAAGAAACATGCCCATGGTTGCTGCAATGAAGAGCATCTACAACTCCTACATGGAAGAAACATGCCCATGGTTGCTGCAATAAAGAGCATCTACAACTCCTACATGGAAGAAACATGCCCATGGTTTCTGCAATGAAGAGCATCTACAACTCCTACATGGAAGAAACATGCCCATGGTTGCTGCAATGAAGAGCATCTACAACTCCTACATGGAAGAAACATGCCCATGGTTGCTGCAATAAAGAGCATATAAAACTCTTACACGGAAGAAACATGCCCATGGTTGCTGCAATGAAGAGCATCTACAACTCCTACATGGGAGAAACATGCCCATGGTTGCTACAATGAAGAGCATCTACAACTCCTACATGGAAGAAACATGCTCATAGTTGCTGCAATAAAGAACATCTATATCTCCTACATGGAAGAAACATACCCATGGTTGCTGCAATAAAGAGCATATATAACTCCCAAGAGAGTTGAAGTCATTTAATTAGAGCCTTTCAAGAATCAATTTACATCGTCATCTTCTTATTTCTAACTATCCCTCGTTTAGATGACTATATGCATCAGAGCTCTGACTAATATCGCGAATATCCAGATCTTACTCAGAGTCGCTATATCAGATTCAGAAAGACATTTACCCACCATCTATATAAATATAGTTACTCTCATAAAAATCGTTACCATCTAATTATCATGAAGCAGGTAATCAAATATTATAGGGACACAAAGATCAAAAAGAGATAGAAATGAGAACCATATGACAAAACTTTTTGTTTCAATTTTCATAAAGTATATTGTTTATTGTGTTCTTATATTTCCAAATGTCGACTAATGGCTCCATTGTTATGGTAAGGTTTGATGAATTAAACATGACGTCAGAATGCATTAGAAACGTTCAAAAGATCAAAATTGATGATTTCTCATTCGACTACGTTACGTCCCAACCAGCATTGTGATCGTCAGACCGAGATGTGCAACTTGAAAAAAAAGTACATACTCTCCTACCTACTTTAATTGTTTATGTCTAAATATAAGTGGGAACGTCTCTCGGTTATTCCCCGGTATTACTTTGGTTCATTTAACATTCTTTGACGTTTATGCTATTTTGACATTTTGCGTGAATATATCCTAGTTTGTTTTTCTGTTCATACAACAATATCAGATGCACATTAACATTAAGCAACTTCATGTATAATGTATTGTATAATTGATCGTTTGAATTATCAATGCAGTTTATCATGCACTTGAATATATACTTACGTTCCCCTTCATAGGTTTGGCAACATGAGGTTTTCATTGAATATATACTCACATTAATATACACTCCCCTTCATAAGTTTGGCAACAGGGAGTTTTCATTGAATATCAAACAAGCATATCATATCAAAGCCTGTCAATGTTTGAATCTTTATTGTGTTCCATAATTACAATATTTCCGAAATTATAGCAAAACTAAATGTAAATATAATTGTTTATCAAAATGCTTTATATACCTATTCCATAGTGATCATGGTATAAAATGCGCTGTGTTGTGTTGTATTATGTTGTATTGTTTTGTATTGTATTGTATGTCTCTTCGTTCATACTCTAATGGAATAAATATTTAAATATACAATGTAAATATTTTTTCATAAACACAAATGATAACATTTTTACAAAATCCGAGCCCGTGACACCTTGTAGGTGACCCTGTCTAAAATAAAATTACCATCGAAATTCTTTAATGTATTAAATTCAAA